TTGCATTCTGCAGTTTGAACAATAGTTTGTCCTTTTCATTAGGTAATGGAGAACTTTTTGTTGCAAATTGGAATTTTTTCTCATCTGTTACAACTTTACTTTCATAAAACCCATGGTTTTGCAGTTGTGGGTTGAGAAAGTATTTGCATATTGATTCAATTATTCCTATACTTACTTGCTTATGCTTATTTTAAAGATATTCTTAATTGATACCCGTATTTGGGGATTTTGAAGTTGGCGGTTCCCCCAAGTTTTTCAGCTCTAGCCTTCCTGGTATGTTGGTAAATTTCGGTGTATTTAGCTAAACTGAAAGCAGTGCTACTGCTTTTCCATTTGCTGCTGTGCTAAATGTAAAGCTTTAAAACAACTATTGCCGTTTTGGAGTCCTAGTCTACCATTCCCAATTCTGCATTTCCTCTGAAATGTTTTCTGGATTTCTGGGCAGCACTGAGAATGACACATACTGGTTTGGGGATCCAAGGGTAGAGACTTCAGAATCAAAGGCTCATCCTGTATAGAAGGAGTCTCCTCTCAGGCTCGCAAACTTGAGGAGGACTACATGCAAGTCGTATGACTTCTGAAACTCTGGTTTGTACTTGGCATTTCGTTGTATGCAGAATTGTCATCTTCCTCTGACTTCCTTGCCAAATAAATTGCTTTTCATCTCCTCCTGTGTTCTGGGTAAGAAAACAGCAGCATGTTGAGATTAATTTAGTAAAGGGGGAAAAAAAAGAGAGGAGCGGACTGTGTGTGGAGAGCTAAGGGTTAAAATATTTTTAAGAGTTTTCTTGGATATGGAATCATTTTTGTGGCTTCCAAGTTTTAAAAGCTCTGTAAAAGTCAGACCTTAGCATTCTAAGAATGTTCAGCTCTGTTTCTCTCGGCAAGAAATAACTGCACCCATACCTGCTGGGGGGGTGGTCCTTCTTTTTTTTCTTTTTCTTTTTTTTTTGTTAGGTGGACTGAGGAGCTCTGAAAACTCTCGGATTGCAGTGGGTTTTCTGATCATTTGCCCCTCAGGCACCTTGTGCTAACTAAGGATTTGTTTAGACAGTATCAATCAGCAGTGTTTGAAAACTTGTTGGTGTTTGTTTTCCACCCTGAGCATCTCTCCGTGCACAGCCCTCACCAGGTGGGCTGTCACTCACCACCGAGCTGGCAGGATCCAGAGATCCCCCCTCACCCTGCTGCTCCAGGCAGCTAGTGCCTTCTCCACTCCAGTCTCTTCCCCAAGAGGGGAGGGGGGGAATGGGCTGCTCACCCAAGAACTTCCCATGGGCAAGCTGCTCCATGCCTTGGATCCAAATCCTCACCCCACTCTTTCAGCTGTGATGGAGAGGTGGGGCAGCAGCAAGATGAATCAAGCACAACACATTGCAAAGTTGCTCTACGTGGGTTCTTATTCCCAGTTTCCCCACTGCCACTCTGGTGGCATGGTCCTGTACCACCAGAGAAGAGAAGCCAAGAGAACAAGTATAGCGGAGAGTGGCTGGAAAGGCCAGTGCCAAGGTGACGTTCTGGCCATGGGATGATTAGGTGTTGACTGTAGAAGCAGAGTGAGTTTTATTTACTAAGTCCCAGTGCCAAATTTCCTGGTTGGTGTGTACTGTGCTATGGTTATAACTGGATCTCATGATTTTAAGACATTTAACTCCAGGTACTCAGGACTTTCTTGTTCTTGGGTTTGGGACAACTGTGTCTGGAGTATGAAAGCTTGGTATTAAAGCCATGGTTAGAGGAGGCTTTGCTTTTAGCCTGCTATTACTTCATTTTGCTTTATCTGTCTTGTTAGTTTATAATTCAGACGTTTTCATTTTGTACACAGATGTGTCCTAGAGGTTTAGTTAACATGGGCAATTTGCAGCTCAGTTTGTTTTAAACTTCTGTTGAGATACACTAAATGGATGAGGTAAATCTCAGGGCACTACACATCTGGCTTACCCAGGCAATGAAACATACTGACTGAAACTTCAGGAAATTAAAATATAAACTTCCCTGCCCCTTTTCCTGCAGGGGCAGGAGAGGGGATGGGTCTGCCTGCTTGCATATGCCATTATGGTCTGTTAACACTTTCGGTACTCAGAGATACGTTATATTTCCCTCTTGCTTGAGCCTTTCCAGTCAGATAGCAACATCACAGGTAAATGTGATGCCTTGGGATTTGTATGTGTGTGACCTGGGAGGTCAAAACCTTCCTGTAAGATATACACTGGCATCCGAGAAACCTGATAGTCTGGGAGTCCCCTGTTTGAACTCCTGCCAGCAAACTCTCTCTTTTTCTGCTTTTCTTTCCGTTGGGACTGAAAAGACTGCTTTTAAAGGAGATCCCAGGTTTCGGATTAGCACGCCCTAAAAACAAAACTCCAAAATCCCTTATGCGAACAGAGCTTTTTGTTCCTACATCTCCAAAAGGAGAGAAGAAGCCAGTGAGCCTCATGCTATGCCTCCAACATTGCTAAAGTACTGACATGCTTTTAAATTTAACAAGTGTGACCCTGTAGCATTTTACATATTCTTATGTGCACTGCCCTGGCTTGGCATTTTGTGAATAAGACAATTTTTTTTTATAATACCTTGTTTCAGATTTCATATGAAAAGGCTGGGAATGATATTACAAAATTGAGGGATAATTCACATTCTAAGCCCATGTGCAAAACAAAGCCACAAAAAAAAAAAAAAGTTATATTTACCACATTTTAAACTTCTGAATCAAAAATACGTGTTCTGCCAGGTGTAGCTGGTCTCTCCCCAGGAGCAACAGTGGAGCAGGAATTGTTACATATGGGCAGCAGCTATCTGAAAGAAAATTTTAGATCAACAAATACATAGAGAAAGAGAAATTATTCAGAACCACAAAAGTACACTAGATCCTGGAGTCCTGACCTCCTCTGTAATTCAGACTCTAAGACTGAATCCAGATATTCCTACAGAGAGCAAAAAACCAGAGCATTCACATAATTAATGCAGATGTTGGCAAGCTTTTCTAAGGGCCACTAATTCATTCGTATGACTTCCTCTCTCCCCCAAGGTTTCTTATACTTGACCTGTTATTACCACGTGGTCTTTAACCAAAGAATTAAAGCCAGATGTCTTGTAGCTAGGTCTCCCTTTGTTAAGTATCCCTTATAAATTGTTTTTTCTATGCAACAGAGAGATCCTACATGAGAACTTTTTAAAAAGTTCTCAAATAATTAAGGCTGAAAGGTTTCTAACCTAAGAGTTGATGTATCCTAGAGGAACAATAAAAGTTTTATAGTCACTGTGCTGAGAAATACTATTTACTCTAGCTTTTTATTATCCTGGGTCTACAAATGTTCTGATTGATGTTTATGTTAGACGTAGAATTCTAAAAAGATCTTTTTCTTTAACATAAATCTAAATGTCATGCAATGAATTTGGGATATAGGTGGAAAGTTTCTATGTTGCTTTATTGAAATTAGCGTAATTGTGTTGACAAACAGAGGGAAATTAAAGGAAACAGAAATAGCTTCGGGTAATTCTAAGGGAATCTTTATCAGACACTATTTTCACTCGAGTGCACTTACTAATTCTGTTTCCCATTTTTGGTTTCAACATGAAGGTTGGGTTAGCTGCAGCACATCCCGTAGAATGGCTGGAGCTGTCCAAAATGTAGGGTTTTGTTTGCAGGTTTTAATAGGAAGAAATTCTTATCTTCTAGTGTTGTTGATATGTTGTTTGATTGGGCTTATTACCCGGGTTCTTGCTAAAACAGTAGAGTCAGTAGAGTTTCACAGCCATAAAAGCAGGCTGTTAGAGTCAGGTCTCCTGGGTCTCTTTAGAAAGAGACTTTCTTGACATGAGCTTCTTGTTTTGCCTTTTTTTTTTTTTTTTAATTATTATTTTTACATCCTCATTGTTAAGCCATGCTAAACAAGGAACCTGGATGTTACTCAGAGGGGTTTTATTTTTCTAAGGTTTGCCTTTTGGGAATTGCACCTTGAGTAATTGATTATAACTGAGGAAGGAAACTCGTTAAGCACTTTCTTGTTAGCCAACAGTTGTATGCAAAGCTTCTATGTGCTGGTGGAGTATGGGGCTTGTTTGTTGCCCCTGTAGCTGTGATCAGCTGAGTACTCTGCAAGGAAAATTAATCATGTATTCCCTGACATAGCCCTAACAATACTTAATGCAAGAAATAATGTTTGATGCTTTTAACACTAGTTCAGTCAAATATTGCTTTTCTGATTTTTTGCCTTACTCCTTCTATTTCAAAATGGGATGAGCCAGTTCAGAGGATTTATACATAAAAGCATGGTGTATGTCCACCCCTGTTTAGAAAGGTGGCTGCTGGAAAAAGAATGCTCACATAAATACTGTGGTATGCTTCTTTCATTGTTTATAAATGCACTTCATACTTTATGGACAGACATAGCCCTTGGCCCTGGCAATTCACAGTCTTAGAGCATATTGGTGATCTTAATTTAGGGTGTTCTTCCCCATTTCTAAGGCAGGACTAGAGTGAACGCCCTTGATGGAGACCTGAATGAGTCAAAACCTGCTGGGAAATGTAATCCAGTCTTCCCCCTCTTTGAGGAGCTCTTCTTTTAACACTGCTGCAGCCAAACAACAGATTTATGAACTGATAAAGTAAATAAGGTGTCCTGTAACAGAGTTAACTTTTCTTAATTACACATTGCATGCCCTTCTCTTTTAAGTGAATTTTTCAGCAGGTCTGCTTGGCCAGAAGCTCATTTGCTATGCAATTTACAACTACGTCAAAAATCATGCTAGCTCCCAGAGCAGATGGAAGTATTTCTGGTTGTTTCTAATCTGGTTGCTGTTACCAGACTCCTTAGAGCAATTGTTTGCAACTTGTGGAATGCCATTTGGTCTGAAAAAATAAATTTGTTCTGAAGCATGTTCCCTTCCTGTTCCCCCCCTCCCCCGGCTCTCTGTGCATGTCTTGTCCACGGAGGCAGTCATGTTTTCAGTTCTGATGTCATTGGGTTTTTTTTCTCTCTCTTCCCCTCTTCTTTCAGTCCACAGCCATGAGCGAACCACAGTGCTACTACAATGAAACCATTGCCTTCTTTTATAACCGAAGTGGAAAATATCTAGCCACTGAATGGAACACTGTCAGCAAGCTTGTAATGGGACTGGGGATTACCGTCTGCATCTTCATAATGCTGGCCAACCTCTTGGTTATGGTGGCTATTTATGTCAACCGCCGATTCCACTTTCCTATTTATTACTTAATGGCCAACTTAGCTGCTGCGGACTTTTTTGCAGGGCTGGCCTACTTTTACTTAATGTTCAACACAGGACCCAACACTAGAAGACTGACTGTAAGCACCTGGCTTCTCCGTCAGGGTCTCATTGACACTAGCCTGACGGCCTCTGTAGCCAATTTGTTGGCCATTGCTATTGAGCGACACATTACAGTTTTCCGAATGCAGCTACATACTCGAATGAGCAACCGGCGAGTGGTGGTCGTAATTGTTGTTATCTGGACTATGGCCATCGTCATGGGCGCCATACCAAGTGTCGGATGGAACTGTATTTGTGATATCACTCACTGCTCCAACATGGCACCACTCTATAGTGACTCCTACCTGGTCTTCTGGGCTATTTTCAACCTGGTCACATTTGTGGTCATGGTAGTCCTATACGCTCATATCTTTGGGTACGTCCGGCAAAGGACTATGAGAATGTCCAGACACAGTTCTGGACCCCGCAGGAATCGGGACACCATGATGAGCCTCCTGAAGACTGTGGTCATTGTGCTTGGTAAGTGCTTACTTTGCCTCTCCTGTTCTCCCCCCTTTATTCCTTATCAGTTGATTTCAGTAATGCATGTCCAGCTTCTGGGAGGGCAGCAGCATTTAGAAGACACTAGAAGAGGTGAGGGCAATAAGAACCCCCAGCATTCCTTACTGTGTTGGCACTATCAAGCTTATTTATGGAAGTGGGTATAAGAGACTTGGTCGGTCAGTCAGCCCTGTTAACATGAAACTGATGTGAACTGAGGACCTCGAGATGTAAGGTGGGTTTTTGCAGCAATGCAAGTTAAAACCTGTTTTAGCAACTTATCCTGTGCAGTGTTTACCCTTTTGCCTTTGAAGATGCCAAATGGCTGCAACCTTAAAATAGTAAGGGAAGGCTCAACCTTTCGCTGATGTGCCTCTTGTCTCCTTTTTGCCACCCAAAAGGTGTCGTGTATATTCAGGCAGCACTCCTGTGTCTGGAGAACAATGAGGGGATACAGGCTATTGATGAAAAGATTTTGCATGTTAAGCAGGACTGCTTGTGCAGGTCACTCAGGTCTATAATGTTTGGCACATCTGAGTATCTGCCAATTGGCTGATAGAGAAAAGTAGCATGTGATGCACTGGTGTGCTTCAGCACACTGCTCAGGAGGTGCCTAAGCTTCAGGGCTTGGAAAACAGGGAAACATGAAGGAAACATCATGACACACTTTGGAGTCAGAGGGTTCCTGTCTTTCTGTGAATGGCTGTATTTGGGTTTTGTCTGAAGCTCCCAGTTTCCTTATGCAAAAGCACAGCCTGGGTACTGGGTACCATTCCCTGGTGATGTTCTTGCAGTTTGTTCTGCTCTTCGTTGCTGCAGATGATAGTGAGCTGCAGGCAGGCAGGGATGGTGAGAACTGTCTCCTTGTCCCAGACTGCATTCCCACCCAGGGAACTGCATCCTCCAGGTTGGAGACCTCTTGGGATCCTAGTACCCTGTTTCATTGTGAAGTTGCCCTGAGAGTCCATAAATGCAACTGTACACAGTCTGCAAAGCCCAGAACTTAGCCCCAGTTCTTGCTTTGACATCCTGATTTCCATGGCTTTACACTGTGTCTTGTGCTTTGTCATAGTTACTGTCTGCACAAACGTGGCAGAATAGCTGCAGAGATTTTACGTGAGTCACTCTGTCAACTTATATGTTAGTTTAAGAATGTACATGTTGCTTTCTGACCTACTGATTAGCTTTGTAACCAGAATATAAACTGTGTAGTTGACTAACCTGTTCAGCCATTGATAAGTCCTATTCCTAGGTGTCCTGCTCTTCTCTTCAGGAAAAGAATCTCTATGAGTTTAGAAGGGAGACTAGTGGTGGGTTAAAAAAAACCTCTTCGGACTGCCTGGTGGTTCGGAAATCTTTCCCTCCACACCTCTGTCATCCTCCTTGAACAGGCAAGATGAGGTTAAGAACACAAAGAAAATCCAGGTTTTGCAGTCTTCTTTTTAGGAAATAGGTACTTGTTTCCCTCCTGAAGGAATTGCTGTTCATACAGCAGTGGAGTATTTCCTGTGAGGTGAAAGACTAGCTCAGACTTTTTAAAAAAAAAAAAAAAAAAAGTTGTGTGGGACATAGTAAGTGCTTATACCAGTGCAATACAGAGTTGTAGGAATAAATAAATAGTCACTGAATAAATAGCACATGGCAGCTAATCCCAAGTATATATGGGACTAAAGGTATGTATGCAGCTGGAAGGCTAGTTAGTGCCTGCACCCTCCTCCATTTTCCTATGAGCAGAGGTCACAGGGAAGATGTACAGGCCACCCAGTGTGGCCACAGGTAGATGTGTACAAGGAACATAAAGTAGCCCTGTTGGTTCTGGTTTTTTTTCTGTAATAAGTACCTTATTTTTTCCAGGTATTGTTCTGGAAACAGTGGAACTCCAGAGTTTAAGTAGCATTAGCCAAACAGAAGGTGACTCAAGTTTAGCTGCTGGTGTAGTTCAGTAATATCTCTGATTCCTCACTGGGGCTATCTAAGTAAGATTTTTCAGGACTGCAGGTGGCATGTGTTGAAGCTTTCTTGAAAATTCAAACAGGACTTTATTTCTTGTTACTGGTGCAGTTAAATTCATTCAGTGTTGTGCACACACTCTATTTTAGCACCTCTTCTAATCTGAATGAAACACCATTTACAGACAGGTAATGTATTATTTTATCAAATCTGTTTGAAGAAGACAAAGGCACTTCTAGGCTGTGACACTAACCCTGTGTCTGGGTCTCACACTTCAGTACTATTTTGAAAAGGGTTTTTGGTTTGTTGGTGGTTTGTTGTTTTTTTGTTTGGTTTTTTTTTTTTTTTCCAAAGCAGTGTGGTTTCTCTGGTTGGAGGATGTCAGTCATAGGGCTATAATGTAAGGAAGCAGCAGCACTTTCACCTCTGTATCACCTGTGAGACACAATTGAGACAAAGATAAAAATGGCTGGGAAACAGCTGTGGTATTTGTTGTTGGGTTTTTTTCTAAATAATAATTTTTAAAAAATAAAGCCTGAAGCCACGAATGAGGCATGGGTGCAACCACAGAGACTTTTGGGAAGTTGAGTGTTCATACATCAGGGTGTTAAGCAGACTGCTAGCTGAAACATGAGAAAAGTTCCTTAGTTGCCATCAACTGCTGAGTGCTGTCCCATATTACTGTATTTGTCCAATGGAGGATTGTTTTGTGGCTCTAAAGAAAAAAAGCTAAGCATTGCTTCTAAGCGCTGATGAGGCACTATCTCAGTTTCGAGTAGACAGTGCAGTCAACCCATTGATGAAGCAGTGCCCCGGTGCTCTGGCACTGCTTGCAGTCTGCTTGCAAGTCTGGCTTAGAATTTTCACTAGCAGAAGATTTAATTTCAAGTCCCGTGAGCCTTCTTGCAATGGTAGTCAATGTATAGTGCTGCAAGTTTATTTTCTTCAGCTTTGGGAAAGGCAGAAAAGGTGGGTGTCTTAGGCTGCCTGGAGCAACTTGCTGAACATTTATCTCCTGCAATCTGGCTTTTTCTGCATCAGTGAACCTCAATAACACAGAGGAAACACCCCCTGCCTCTCTTAATGGTGCAGGTCAGGGTAATACATTGCCATTTGAGGCAGAAACCAAATTTTCGCTGGAGGTGGAGAGGGGAAAGGAAGGGCTTCAGTTGATTCCTAAAATCCCTCTCCCTCCTCTCCTGCCCCACTGCTGAGCGGGGAAGGGAGCTGGTGTGTGTCAACCCACTTACCCAGGAGGAGGCAATACAGTTTGGAGGAGAAGGAGGGTGCCTTGGGAACCACGGAAAAACAGAGCTGGGAGTCTGAGTAAACCTATGAGCATTGGCAGAGGGAGGCAAACCAGTCCTCATCTTAGGATCTTTGTTAGAATGCTGCTGAGCTGTTAGTAACCCCCTTGTGATTTGGGCAGCAATGAAGTGTTCATTTGACTTTTAAACTTCCATAAACGGGTCTTCCTGAAGTCGTCCTGCTGGCTGTACTCCCAGGCAAAGCCTCGCTGCGGCGAGCAGGAGATCATCTTTTCCCTGTCCCCATCCACACTATGTTTCAGGGGGCAGGAGAGGGATGGAATTAACACAAGAGCTTCTTGTTTGTTAGCTGCCTAACACCGCCTGCCCTCCTCGCGCCTTGCTGCCTTGCTCCAAGAGGAGAAGAGCCGCTCCGAAGGGGTGCAGTCCTCCCGGCGGCGATGCTGTCAGCATGTGCGGGGTGGACGCCAGCCGCCTCTGACAAGGGGGCGATTGTGTGGGGAGGGCTACGGCCGCTTGACACGCTGACTGGAGCGGTCGGGATCTGGCACACTGCGTCATCCCACAGAGCGGGTGGGATGCTGAATCCTAGGAACAAGTCAAAAGCGGAGAACAGATTTATTATTATTATTTTTTTTCCTTTTCATGCCCTTTTGTTTTTTTTTCCTTGAGTAAAATATTTTAAACAGAAGGAAGTGATTTCATTTTTGAGCCCTTTTTTCTTTTAACAAGGCTGCTTTTGAAATCTTTCGAAAGTAACAAGGAACATAAAGCTCTTTCTCTAGAGCATGACTTTCCTTTGCGCTGGGGCTAAGGCAGGACTGATCTGTGTACTGCTCATAGCTGTAAAATTGGGTCTGGCTTGGCTTGCAACTCAATGACACTTTGCCTTTCACCACCACCATGTGTTCTGTTTAAATGAGCAATCAAGGGAACAGGCAGAAACCTAGCGGATACGATAGCTGAAAGTTGAACCCCCCCCCCCCCCCCCCCGGTGGAGGTCATAGTTAAGACTCTGAATGTATTTGGCTGGGCCAAATGCAGGTTTGGCCCAAAAATGGATGAGAATATCTAACTACTGCTTTAAGAAGTGGTAAAATCATTGAAGAGGGATTTCAGAGCTCGGGGCTGGAAAAACTAAGTCTGGTCTGGATTTCCATGGCCTGGAGTAAGTCATGAAAGGCTATGGTCTTCTATGGGCTCTTAAATACCAATATTTGTAGATAACTACCATCTTAGATTGTTACTGTGGGAAAGTTAGCCTGTATATTCTCCTGCCTAAATGCTGATTAAACACCCATCCTTAATTTTTCAGTCTTTGTTTTTACAATGTGGGTAACTCTTACCTATACTTCCATACTTGTCTTAGAGCAGTCTTCTCTATGTGGACATTAGACTGTAAGACTATGATACTGAGGTTTTATAACTGAATTTTAAATAGGAAGAGTAGCAACAACCCTTCTTATGTGCATTTTGCCAATCCTGCCATTTAGCCTTCTGTGTTGGGTGAGTTTTCAGTGTTGTTTGGCCAAAATTAGGCATGCCTGTTGAGCTGAGCACCACAGCTAGCCTCCAGGATGCAGGGAGAGCAAACAATGAATTCATGATTGCTTGCCCTTTGTATTCCTGGAAACTAAAAAGATACTCAGGCCTTCCCCGCCTGTAAGACCATCCGCTTTGTTTGGAGGCATGCGGTTTATTCTCTAAGATTTAGAAATAAACGTGGGCACAGATAAAAAAAGTGAATGTTCTTTTTGTATA